TCTGTCCCAAAAATAAATAAACGTTGAAAAAAAAATAAAAAAACCTTTTAATGTTTTTTAATGTATTTTTGACAGACAGAAATGGAGCATGAGTGGGGGAAGGGCAGAAAGAGAGGGAGACAGAATTCAAAGCAGGTTCCAGGCTCCGAGCTGTCAGCACAGAGCCCAACGTGGGGTTTGAACTCACCAACCATGAGATCATGACCTGAGCCAAAGTTGGGCACTTAACCCACTGAGCCACCCAGGCGCCCCTCCTTTTCTCTAGTTCTCAAGTGACAGGAACAAGCGTTGTATCTATGAGGGCAGTCTGCGGGGCCTACCTGCCGAGTCATAGCCTCTGTACTCAAGCCTCTGCAGGCCCTTGATGAGGGTTTCGAAAATCTCCTTCCTCGTCCGGGGGACTCTGTAGTTCATGTAGGCGAAGATTCCTGTTGACAGAGGGGGAACCAACATGTTTGTAAATCACTCAGTTGGTGTTGAGGGAAAAAAAAATGCTTCTGGGGACTCCCACCCAGCTGACATCCCGGGAGGCCTTCCTGGCTGCGTGCGTGGCCTTCCCCTGACATAGCCGAAGAACGGTGTGCTCCCCTCTGCTTCCGAAAGGACAGCCCCAGCAAGCAGCCCAGCCAGGGACGAATGCGTAGGCCTTGGCCTTGGGATTTCACCGCAGAGAATTTCTCCTATGGACGCAGTCACGTGACCTGGCTTTCACCATGGCAACATTTATAACAGCAAAGATCGGCCAAACCACCCAACCACCTAGGGACATCTCGAGGTCCCAACCCATGTGGATTCCTTGATTTGCACAGAATATGCCCGGGAAGGGTCCTAAGGAGGTCACAGCAGGTGAAGACAAGGGCTGAGGCCTTTACTCCTTCCTGCTCAGCCCTGTTGCCTGGAGCTTTAGCATCAATAAATGCTACTTTCGCAACAGCAAAACCAAAATCATCTCTTGGCCCCTGGAGAATCCCTACCTTCAAGGGAGGCCTGCACTCCAAGATTTTATTTGGCTTTATTCTCCATATTTGTATTTCGAAATAACATTTTCCCAAATAGGAAGTAACAGCCATCACGCTGGCTCTCTCTAAGCTGCTCCACTCCCTCCCTGATTAAGACTATGGACCCTTGGTCTGTCTCTGTCCTGCCCTGCGAGTTCCCTACCCTGATGTCCCTCTGTCCTTCTGTCCTCCCTGCTCCACTTGGGAAAACCTGCCGTCCTCAAAGCTCAGCTCTGACCC